GTTGCAGTGCTTAGGAACACACAGAAATCTTGGATTTTGAAAGAAGATCAGTATTTTTCATTTAAAATTATTTAGTATTACTGGATGTGATGCAGTAAAATAAATTGGTTTGGGATACTGGAACTTGGATAAACCAGAGGGAAAGGTGTTGAGTGGTGGGTGGAAGAGAAGGGTTTTATTACATTAACTCTTTGCTGGCAGCTTAACTTTCTGTAAGCTAGTAATTGGATTCAAATAGTAGAATATTCTGAGGAAAAGACAAATAAGGCTCAATCAAAAGTATCCCCCAAATTCTTGTTTTGACTGCCAGACTAGCAATTTTAACTGCTTGGATGATTTATGGTTTTAAAATACAGGTCTCTCTCAGTAAATTACAATTTTGTGTAAGGGATTTATGCCTCCTGGAGAGGCCTTTGGAAATATTTTTTCTTTTCTAGAAAGACCTTAATGAAATAAACCACTCTAGAAGGGAGTAATGAGTTTCTAGAAAGAGGTACAGAAATGTCTTACCTATATTGACAAATACAAATCTCTTCTGCTAGAGAATAGAATTCTGTTTCTGTGTTAATGAAAACAGGTGAGAATCAACAGCTGAGTGAATTACATTTTGCTCTGCACATGTGATCGAGATAAAGTGCTAATTAAAGTTACTGATTTTAATGTTCAAGTTTAAGTTTATGGGATAAGTGTTCTTTTTTTTTTTTGATGCTGTGTCTTAGCATGTTATTTTGGTCACCATTCCTTAGCTGAAAGGTGAGTGAATAGTCCTGTGTTAATTTGGAGTACATCTCCTGGCTACAAACATTTGAAGAAAACTCTATGATCTGTCACCTTAATATTTGTTGATACTTTTTTTTTTGCTTTTCTAAAATATTCCATGCCATATTTATTCCATTTTTTTTGGACAGTTTTGTAATCGTGAATATTGCATCATTTGGAGACAAGATTTTGTATTTTCTTCAGGCCGCTGCAATTGCAAGACCTGTTCTGGGGGAAGAAAGTAGTATTGATTTGTCAGTTTAAAAAACCCCCAGTTTTATAACTACTTGTATTTTTATTTTCAGTGTGAGAATGGAGTTGCATCTGATACCTTCTCCTGTATAAATTCTTAGGTGTATTTTCAAAACTGTTAGTTTCATGGTTTTATAGAGTGAATTTGAAAATATACTAATGTATTTTTAAAAACATGAAGGATCTTTTTGACAGTTCTCTGTATACTTAGTCTACTGGTATCAATGGTGATTGAGGTGTAAGAACATGGGGCATGATATACCTCAAATGCTCAAGAAATCTTGTTTCTAATACTTCTAAAAAGGGGAGAATCCGTACTGTATTAAATGTACAATATGTATGTAATTTGAAAACGGGGTGTATTCAGTGTTTTTGTGTAGATCTAATTTTTACAGTTGACATTGAAAGGAGTTGGAATTGTGAGGAAATACAATTTTTAAGTCTTGTATCTAAAGCAATTAGCAAGTATAATGCTATAGTTGCCATCATAGCAGTTTTATCTACAAGCAGATTACTTGAATCAGACCTCTTTGAGGTTTGTTTACATTACTGAATTCTGAAGTATTTTACAAGAGTCCTGCAACGGAAGTAATTTGGAAAGCTTTCTTTTGAGTTGTGTGAAGAATTGTCGTTTTACAATAACATATTCTTTGTTTGCTTCCTTTTTTTTTTGGTTTTAGATTTTTTTTTTTTTAAATCTTCGTAAAGCTTAAATTACACTTTACTACCCATTCTTTGTCTTATGGCTTTCTTTTCTCCCTGTAATTGCACATTATCCGTTTTTATTGTTCTCTTACAGTTTAAGTTGTTTTCCCAGGTACCGGGCGACTCCGGAGGTTCTTAATCGCCTCCCCACACATTTCTCTAGTAAAAGTTAAGCCCTCCTCTCTCTCTGCTCGATTTTAACTCCCTGTTGTGGGAAGTTACGGGTGGCTTCAGGTAAGGGGCTGAAGCAGGCTGCTACTCAACAGAAGAATGGGCAGTTGCATAGCGAGGAAAAGAAGCTCTGAGAAGATAACGCTATCATTGTTATGTTCTGCAAAGGGCTTGAGTATCCAAGAACTAAGCTCTTGGGTGGGCTGGACTATCAGCCAGCACTGATTCAGCTGCTCTGTCTTAACTGTGTGTTGGTATTCCTTTCTCTGTTGTATTTTGAGCAAAACCCATGTTGCGTTGACCTAACTTACCTGCAGTAGCTTGTTTATGCTCACATAGTAAATAGCTGTCTAGGACGTGATTTGTGTGGGATAGGACTGAATTTTTATTATCACCTGGACTCCTGCAAATACAGGTTTCGACAAATTATTTAAGTACGTGTTTTTATAGTTAGTATGTCAAGCATTTAATTACATTAATGATACATGCTGTCAGTTAACATTTGAAATTGAGTATGTTCTCTGACAGGGGATTTATCCTAAATTTGCAAATTCTGTGTTAACCGTACAGAATAATTTCCCTGTGCTGAAAATGTGAAAGAACGTGGTA